ATTTTAACGAGAGAAACATGAGCTGCATTCGCTTGTTCGCTTGGGCTCGTGCACGCACAATCGAAGAGTGAGACGGAAAGACATTGAATTGAAAAATGAACATTGCCACAAGCTGGAAAATGATAAATTATTATTTCGAACTGAATTGGCTATTCAAAGAGAAAAAGAGAAAGACAGGGAGAGAGAGTGCACAGGCAAATGATGAAGAATATGCGATTCGATTGGAGTTATTTATTTGAGAAAGGCCCAAAACGGTTTTCCATTTAAAAAGTAGAGCTATGACGACAACGTGTTGTAGCTCTCTACAAAATGTAGGCTTAAAATAAATATTTGCATTGAATAATTGAACCATTTTATGCGTAAATTCTTTGAAAAGAATGAAAATAAAGTGTATGAATGTAAAATTGCTCTGATATACTATTTATTTTACATTCTTTTTTTTCTTCAACATACTTGCGCTCTTTCTTTTGCTCTTTAACTGTGTCTTTTTATTTTCTAGACTTATGATTATGCTGGATAAATAACCGCTGCTGAAAATATGGGCTAAGTGGATGCGCGTCTTCGATATTCATTTACTGCCGGACCTATGCATACGTCGAAATTGTATAGAAAATTGTCAGACACATAAACTTGCCGGACATATGCTAAACTATATGCCTAAGTACAACCGATAAATGCATACCATAGACGCGCATCCACTTAGCCACATTTTCCAGCAACGGCTATTTATCCAGCATTTATCATACGTCTGCTATTTTCGATGATATTTATCACATTGCTTAATTATAAAACTGGCATCAAATATGTGTATATAAACTGTCGTCTCGAGATACATTTGACTGTACTGTGCCAGACGAATGCAATTGCCGCGTGAGCCTTTTAATAACGGTCTAATGAATAAACAAGTAAGACGTAAGAATCCGAAAACATTTTTAATTGGAATTGGCCAATCACCAACAACACGGAGCCAGTAAATGCGGTGAAATTGGAATGAGAAACATACGAAGAACGAATTCAAATTGGAATGAACTCAAAAGCGACCAATTGAATTGTAACCTGAACCCAAACCCTGAAATTCAAGCCGATTTGCCGATGTTTTTGAGCCATTTTCACACAATTTTAAATCTTAAATGTACTTATTCGTGCATACGCTCATTATATATCCGTTTTATTGCTCATTTTCACCTTGAGCATGGGCTCAAGCGCACCTGGTGCTTGAACTATATTTGAAATGTATCCACGATTTGTTTTGGTAATTTTTTGTTTTCTTCTTCGTTGTTGTTGCTTGCCCATACTTCTTCTTATTCCATCAGGTCTAATAACATGTTTTGCATGAAATTCAAACAAATCGTGCACAAATGGCACAAATAGATAGTTGCTGAAGTCGTGTTGAGCATACAGTGTTTGCGTTTTAAATTTCGAAATCGATTCGCTTGCATATTCAAATTGACAAGTATCTGAGTTAAATGGCTGCATAAAATCGACCATTATATCGTTTGAAGAAATGCTTGCATTTTTGTACACACAAACGCCAAACTCAATTCAAATTGAGACCATTTGAACAAGTGTAGATTCATGTTTTTGCATTTGATTTTTCATTGGCGTACGCTTGTTCTTAACTTGCATCTTGTTTTTGTGTTAATCGGTCGATGAAATAGCAAATAAACTAAATGAAGTGGTTTTTTTCCTCTTTCTCTCTCTATCTCTTACTCGTTTCCCTCTTGCTGTGTTTGTTATTTTCTTTCTGTGATTTTTTTTTTCAAGTTTACACTGGTTGTGTTCAAGAACGAAGAGACTAAATGGCTTAAAACTCGATACTGGCCGTAGTTTATTTGCGTCAAGTGCAAAATCTATAAAAGACACCATCACAACATTCAATCGGCAACTTGTTCACATTTTTTTGTTGCGATTTCGTTACAATTTTCTTGCTACTTCAATCTTATTGGCTTTTAATTACACACTAATCAAACAGTTCAAGCATTACCAGCAAACGTATCAATAATCACAACTGCTTTTTTTGTACTTCTGTTGCATCAAACAATTAATGATCGTCCAACTCCCCTTTTTTAATTATCAGTTGTTCAATGTGGATTTGTGTAATCACGTTTCGTTCTTTGCACTTTTTGTTTTCACCTCTCCACTTTTTGTGTAATTGAATCGGTTGTTTCGTTTGCTGTAAAATGTAAAGCAAAACAAAAAAACAACTTTAGTGTCGACTATTTCATAATTATCCGTTTGTCTTTTCCAGCAATAAAAAAGGCATTCATTTAAGTTCTAGTTTTTGTTCAAACTTAATTATTCATGCTTAACAATCGATTTAATTCATGTTGAATTTCTCTTATCCTCTCTTTTATTTCACAGTTTTACGAGATGATTTCCGAATTGAGCCAAAAGATACGCGAGTTGCGGCTGGAGAAACGGCATTGCTCGAGTGTTCGCCTCCAAAAGCGATACCAGAAATTACATTGCAATGGAAAAAGGATGGAATTGTATTGGATTTTGATGAGAGCCGCAGTGGAAATGCCATTCATCACATGAGCAACAATCCCGTTGCACGTATGCGAATTGTCGACGGTGGAAATTTACTCATCAACGATGTACGACCACTCGATGAAGGACGATATCAATGCATCGCCCAAAACATGGTCGGCACACGTGAAAGTACATCGGCTAAATTAACCGTTCAAGGTACGTTCTCTAAAATCTTTTTGCGTTTTTGTTCACAAACAAAACTCGGTTATTCGAGTTTGCAACTCATTAAATCAGTTGACAATTAATTTTGATGCCGAACATCTTGTGCCGATCATTAAAAAGAATTTGCTGACAAAATGAGTTCGATTGTTAAATTGAGCAGAAGTCGTTCGTGCACAATGCATAGAATTTAGAAAATTGAGTGAGAGACAACGAAACGAAACAAATAATTAACACACTGTACTTTACTACCATAAAAATGTTCAAGCCAAATCACCCTCGAATTTAAAAGTACAATCAAATTGGTGTGTGTGTGTGTGTGTGTGTGTGTGTGTAACCTACACAGTGTAGGCGATGAAAAATGCATTTGGAATAACAACCCAACAGTAAGAAAGGATACAATGTCACCCCATTTTTAATTTGCTAACACTAGCAAACAATTCGTTTCCGTGTTATGGCTGTGCTTCATCACACACAGGCGAGCGTGCGCGTGTTCACTATACGAACCGAAAATGAAACGATTTTACGGTATACATTTTTATGGAGTTAATTATTTGATTTGAAATAACGTGAAAAATACAAAAGAATTGTAGAAAAATAAAACAAAAGACTAAAACGTTTTACGGTCATATATTTTGGCCCATCGACCCTTAAACTTTCTATCTCTCTTTTTTTTTCAAAACGAATAAAATTGTTTCGGTTTCATTTTGAAATGCAGTTTGTTGTCATTCGTTTCACGTTGAGTGCGTGTTGAATCTCTCTTCTTTTTCGTTGTGCTTCCCTGTTGTTTATTGTCACACAATCGTTAGATACAGTGGTTGTGCTATATATACACCATATTAAATTACAAACGGCACGAGACTCGATGCAATTAATACAAATCCATATTATTTGTTTATGCTCGTATTTATCGAGTAACAACAAGGAATTAACGAAACATTGGCATTGACAACAACACGAAGACATGGAACGAACAAAAAAAAGGACGCGGAGAAGAAAACAAAACTTGTATCTTCTTGTATTGAGAAGACCGGCAATGTGTCCACTTAATTCTTTTCCCTGTTAAAAGCTGGCGCACATTCAATAAAAGCAAACAATTCAATTTTGTATCTATCGTTCCATACACAAGCAAATCGTGCATATATATGTGCGAACCGAAAATCACCCCCGTCTCCAATTGAAAATGATTGTTTGTGTGTATTTCCGTATCAAACAAAATAAACATAGGATATTATTCGAAGACATTTTATCTGCACTTTCCGAAATAGAGACATTAAAATGCATTAGGAAAGCCGATGTTTGGACAATGTATAATATGGTTAATATATGTGATCCCGACACAACACACACACACATAATGAAATTAAACGATGCGCCTCAAAGCATCTGCATGCGTAAATTGAAAGGAAGGAAATTTCATTGAGGTCATACCCTTTTTTGGTAAATCGCTTCAATCTAATGTATTTACGTATGTGTGTATGTTTTGATGATTGCCGCAATTCGACCGACCCTTGAACACTGATATTGTATACCATTTTGCAAACATGCACTTTTGCATCAAACATGCACATCGGATCGGAAAGATGGTTACATATATTTCGGACCATAATAACAAGACACAGAGAAAATTAAGCAACATTAATATCAAACCAAGCGACATTAATATGATGAGATGGCACATTAATAAAAAATAATCACGAGACATACAATTCATTCTAGATATCAACTCACCAGTCTACTCTGGTTTCACCTTCTCACTCGCTCACTCATTCGCACGCATTGTCTATTTGTGTTTGATGTTCGGATTCAATTTGGTAAGGAGAGATCGATGATATAATCGGACCAAATATCATATGAAAATCTCATGGTCAGACATCACATCCAATTTAATAGGATCAAACTGTGTGTTTGTGTGTGCATATGCAAGTGTTTGCTGTACAAATGTGTCCACAATGAATAATCCAGTACATTCAATGTACCAAATCGAATCAAATCGACAGCGTTTCAATATTAGAACGAATGATTTCTCTGCAATTCGGTTGCTCGGTCGCTAGCTTGGTCGAGAGGTCTTGTTTGGTGTATACAAAATATTTGCAAATAGGATTCAGTGTTAGATCTACCTAAATTATGATGGAATCCAAATTGAACTGAATGAGAACAGCAAAAAAAGACATTGGATTACAATTGGGAGTAAAAGAGAGCAACGAGTGAGAGAGAAGGAACCAGAGAGAAATAGTGTAGAGGCAAAATGTATTAATAAATGGAAACAGGCATAAATCATCAATTGATTTGCATTCAAGTGAATGTTTTAATTTAATAGCCGTTCAGACCACCCACCCCCTCCCAATGTGATACGGTTGTTGACCTAAGCTTTAAGTACACAAGACACCGAGCATATTTACAGTGACCGCTTCATCGAAATGCGTATGCAGATATATGAAAATCATCATGCGGTGAAAAACGGACATCAAATGAGACCGAACGAGAGATTACATTGACAGTTTAACATCATTTTGATGTAACTGGTGATTGTTGGCGATGATGAATCGATATATTACATTTCACAATGTAATTTACACACATGCAATCACATGAACGCACACACACACGATACACACATCATATTTGTTCAATGCAATGGTGATCCAAATGTACACGCACCCAACACATTGCGAATTGTGCCACCATAATTTCAATATTGTTGAAAATTCCCAACAAAATAAATAACATTTTGTGTACATGTTGCATCACAATTGTTGTGTACATGTTCAAATTGTCATGGATTTAATTAAAAATAATAAAAGACATTTAATTTATCCGTATTGCGAGAGTTTAATGTTATGTTTCCGTATTAATTCAATGTTCTTATCGGGTCAAGTAGAAGAACTTAGTTCAAATTAATTTGGCAAATGAACGATACAATGTATTTGTTGTGTAGTTTTTTTTTTGTTGCTTAAATCCGTGCCGTGTTTCATTTTGTCAACAGTGGAAAACGAATCATGCGGAAAGAGAGAATGTAGAACCAAAATCAGATATGCAAGTGATTATTAGGTGGCATTAAAAATGCAATATGTGTTACCTATGGATGCGTATGAAAAAATAAATCTCCTTCGAATACAAATATTTGTGTGTCGATTGTGCATACAGGGATACAACATCCATGAGCATTTTATTGCACAGGATTCAACTTGATTGTTATGTAAATGTTATGTTGTTTGTACAGTGGTTTTGCATGTGTGCCGAAGAAACATCGTTGACAATTAAAACGTATAGATGCGTGTGGAAAGGCAAGGCAATAAGGCAACGCAATATAAACTGAATCAATAGTCGATGAACAAAGCCAAAGTGAGCGAGTGTGCGCGCCGGCGTGTGTGTATGTGTTCGTGTGAAAATATGCAACGTGTCGCATATATTTGCACATTTTGCTCATTGTCCGATGGCCGCTCTTTAATCGAACGAATGTGTATTGTCGTCGCTTCACAAACGGCATAAGCGAAATCAAATTTCCTCATATGCACACAAAAACTGTACACAATGAATTAATTTCTAATTGTTATTTCCATTCCATTAACATCGAACTGATTAAGATTGTAATGTGAACAACGGCCTGTGCACGTATGGCGACAACCTAAATATATTTCTATAGATTGGATCGGATCAGTTCGATGTAGCGCTCATATTCATGTATTCGGACGTGTGCGAACGTGTAATAATTGTGCTTGCTTTTAAATGCGATTAAAATCGATAGATGCTTCGGTGTACATTATACGTACACATATGCGGTGGGATAGATACTGTGAGAAGAATGAACTCAGCTCGGCTTGTTGTCGCAATGAAAAATCAAAATTAAATTCGAAAAGTTCAGCATGGGAATGAATGAAATGGGACAGAGAAAGACCGAACCATGTCAACAGAACAAGAGCTAATAAACTGATAAAATATTAACACACTGATATCGACGCTGACAATATTCAATATTCAGTCACACACAGAGAGAGACACACGTAAACAGAACGTTACGATGGTTTGGCCATTTGCTGACCATTGTACACACAATAACAAAGATTGGATGAAAGTGTAAAAGATAGTGAATGGATGGAGACGATTGAAATCCGTATTACCATCGATGTAAATCAAATAAAATTAAATGAAATGTGATTGGGATAAATCTTGACGACATATACACATGAACCGTACGTACTCGTACACCTATTTAGGATTTGGTTTTGTCACTTTTTGTGTTGCAAACTATATGGATCTTTCCATCATGTCGTTTGATCCCATATCAGTCTCTTATTGTCTCTATCCTTGATCTGACTTCAAATCCGGCCATACACTGGTAATGCCATTTTCAGTGGTCTCAACCATAAATTAACGTGGAGTTTTTGGTATTTATTGATCTTGTATATGTCATTAGCATCAGCATCAACGATGTTATATTGTAATATTTGTTCTTTCCGTACTCTTTCTCTCCTCATCACTCTCCTTTACCTCTTTAACTTTTTTCAATTCTCGTGGATTGTCGTATTGCCATTGCTGTATGAAATATGATTAAATGATGATACGTTGTTCTCATCAATCAAATTAATAGTGATGTATGTGGTAAACGTTACACGCACTTCGGATAGTTGTTGTTTGTTTGTTTGCTGGTTTGCCACAACTTTGTTGTTTTTGATGTGTGCTTTTTTATTTCATTTTTATTTCAATCGCGTTCATCATGTCGATTGCTCTGTCGTTTCTCATTCAATTTATTCTTTAATTGAATTGAAATAATCAAACGCAATTTATTCTTTGTTTCCAATTACGGTTTGATCGCGTTTGAATGGCGTTCATATCGTTCATTTTACAACATTGAATATTGTCACAGCGTGTTATCGATGCATTTTTCAAACGCCGACAAAACCAAGAGAAATGCGTTGACACTGTGTCTACAGCAGACTTCATATCAGATGATGATGATGATGGTCAAAATGCACACGTATGTTTGTGTTTATGTT